TAATGGATCCAACATAAGGTTAAAAATACAGAATCACCATTTGGATGGGGTTGGTGGCCATGGACTTGAATTTTTTTTTCTCATTTCCCAATGTCCATTATAAAATGATAATAAAAAGATTTTTAAAAAATCTAACCACAAACCTAAAGGGAAATGAGGATTGGTGAAGCTACAAAGCAGATGTAAGAGCAGTAACTGATTTAACAAACCTAAGAAAGTTCAAAAGAAGAAATGTCTGAGGAGCAGCTAGAGAGCCAGCCGTGGCTCGGGAATTAGAAACAGGAGTCTGTCTCCTGAGGAGTGCCGTACAAGGAGGCAGGGTACAAGCCAAACGTAGAAAAGCATTGAACCTCTCCATCACTTCTGTAGGCCCTGGTCCTTGGTGACTGCTGCTTTCTCAATAGGAGACTGGAAGAGTTCAAGAGACAGCAAACCAGAGGGCATCCTTGACCTAGAAAGCCCGGGCAAGGCCAGATACGGTTCAACGTGGAAGGGTGAATGTTCACATACATCCAAGAGGTTTTAAAACCATGCCCCCATCCTCTCTTCTGAGAGTGTCCCAGCAAATTTTAAAAAGAGAAAGCTTAGAGATTCTGGAAAATTGTCTAAGCAAATGGTGTTGGTTACTTTATCAGTTTCAAACAAGCTAGATACTGGACTCATTTTTAGAAGAGGGAACCTCAATTGAGAAAATGTCCCCACTGGATTCTCCAGTGGGTAAGCCTATGGTGTTTTGTTTTGTGTTTTTGTTTTTTTGTTTTATTTTGTTGTGTGTGTGTGTGTGTCTGTGTGTGTCCGTGTCCGTGTCCGTGTGTGTGTGTGTGTGTGTGTGTGTGTGTGTGAGATACGGGAGGGCCCAGCTCACCAATCCACATGCCTTTTAATCCAGTGCCATAGAGACAAAAGCAGGCCGATCTCTGTGAGTTTGAGGCTAACATGGTCTAAATAGAGATCCACAGTCCAGCCAAGGCTGCATAGTGAGACCTCATCTGAAAAATGAAAGAAAAGAATCCTAACATCAATGCTACTTAATTACTTTATCTGTTTCGTGTTGGGAGAATTGTTTTGTCTCCCAGAGCCAGGGTTTGAACCTAGGGCTCTGTACAATCTAAACAAGTACTGGCAAGTCATTTCCAAATGACTGACGTGGGTTTTTGTTGTTGTTGCTGTTTAATTAAAGCAAAGAGATCTTCCTTATAAGGCTGAAGGAAATGAGACTATTGGAGCCAGGCCTGTGAGGAAGGTCTGTAATCCCAGTTGAGGTAGGAAGATTGCAGATTCAAGGCCAGTCTGGGCAACTAAGTGATACTCTGTGTCAAAGTGAAAAGTAAAGAGAGGAATAGGGATTCAACTCTATGGTAGAGAGCTTGCCAACGAACACAAAAGCCTGGCTTCAATCTCCTATACTATGATAACAGAGGAGATGGAGGTGGAGGAAATGGGCCCATTTGGAAAATTGGGCCATTTTCAGTGTCCTCTGGTTTTTAAGAGCAAATAAAAACTTAAGTTTGGAGCCAGAAGTGATAAAGCATGCCTTTAATCCTAGCACTCAGGAAGCAGAAGCAGATGGGTCTCTGGGAATTTACGGCCAGCCTGGTCTACCTAGCAAGTTCCAGAATACCTAGAGCTACATAACTCTGTCAAAAAAAAAAAAAGAAAGAAAAAGGTTTGGAAAACAAGCAAGCCACCCATTTAGCTGTGTTTGGTGGCTTAGAATGTAAATATGACTCCATTTTTATTTTTAGTCTTGTGTGTTGGAGCCTAGGTCGGGAGCTTAGTCTAAACAAAAACCCTCCTGTAAGTTTTACTGAACAAAATAAATGAGATAATCTATCGATAACATCTTGTGAAGTGTAGAAAACGGCGATCCCGAAAAGGGAAGAGGACATTGCAAAAAAGAAAGAAAATGTCAGGGACAAACGTTATCTTGGGGATTAAAGTACAGGTTAAAAAGTATCTCAAGGTGCAGGAAAGATGGCTCAGTCTCTAAACTGCTTACCACTCGAGTGTGAGGACCTCAGCTTGCTCCACAGCACCCAGGTTAACGAGTTGTGCAGCCCGAAGGAGGTAGAGGCAGACACATGGGGCTCTATGACCGGACATCTGGCTGAATCCAGAAGCTTCCGGTTCAAGGGCAGACCCTGGAGCTTGCTGGCCAGACATCGTGGCTGAATCTGGGAGCTCCAGGTTCAATGACAGACCCTGCCTCAAAAAGTAAGTGGAGATAGGAGAAGAGAGGCCTGCTGCATGAACTTATCAATCGGCTCTGTTAGCGGGGCTGGAGAGGTGGTTCAGCCATTAAGAGCACTTCTTGCTCCTCCAGAGGTCCCGAGTTTGATTCCAAGCACCCATCCAGGTGGTTCATCCCACCTGTAAGTCTAGTTCCAGGGAGATCTAACACCTTCATCCTCCAAGGGTATCTGTATTACAGTCCAAGGAAGAGAAATAAATGCTGTGGAGAGCAACTAAAAATGAGTTCCAGCCGGGTGGTGGCTCACACCTTTAATCCCAGCACTTGGGAGGCAAAGGCAGGCAGATCTCTGTGAGTTCATGGCCAGCCTGGGCTACAGAGTGAGTTCCAGGAAAGGGGCAAAGCTACACAGAGAAACCCTGTTTTGAAAAACCAAAAAAAGAAAATGACATCCAACTTTGACCTGTGTCCCACACCCATATATGCACATACACATAAGAACTACGTGTGTCCACACACACACACACACACACACACACATACAATTTCTCAACAGACCCAGTAGAAGTTAATGTTCACAAAATCTATAGCAGAGTAAAAAAGAGTTATAAGGAGAATGACAGGAAAACTACAGGGCAGTCTGTTAGCCAGTCACGGGAGTCTATAGAAGAAACAAAGTACAGAGGAAAAACTACCTGTGAATAATTAAAAACCGACTAAATGTAGTGGGACACACCTCCAAGACCAGCATTTGGGAGGTGAAGTCAGCAGGCTCCGAAGCCAGTCATAGTTACAGAGGAATTTTGTAGCCAGGCTGAGTGACATGGCATGCGGTCTAATGCAAAAAAGAATGATTCAGACAAATTCTCCGAATGAAAGCTCAGGAATTTCCAGGTGCAAAGAATTAGTTAAGTGCTTACGGTGAGTAGTCACACCGTGGCATGTACAAAGAGGCGAAATAAGCTACACAGCGCCCTTTAAGTTGCTGTGGGCTATGTAGTAAGTTTGAGGCCAGTCTGGGCCACGAAGTGAGATCCGGTTTCAAAAACCAGAAGAAAAGCAGCTTGAAGACGACAATGTGGAAAAGAAGAGACAGACAGATGGAAGAGACAGATGGGGAAGGAGGGGAATAAGGAAGAAAGAAGGAAATGGGGGGGGAGGGAGGGAAGTTTTACAAATTTTTGAGAGTCAGTTCTCTCCTTCCACTGTGGGTTCTGGGGGTCAAATTCAAGTTGTCCAACTTGAGAAACAAGTGTTTTTACCCAGTGGGCACCTTGCCAGCCCAGCCTATTTTCCCTTTGAGACAGGTTTCATGTAGCCCACGTGGCCTCAAACTTACAAATTCTTCACCATCCTACTTACTACAGCTGGCTCCTATGAATTGAGATTGTAGGCATTCGTGCCTTGGCTAAATATTTAGTCTTCTAAAAGAGTCAGCTGTAGGTGTGATTATTAGAAAATAAATCAGCAAAGATGGGATGCAGGAAAGAAATTCTGACTCAATGTGAAAGGGAGATCCTCAAGGGATGGAGACAGCGTCTCCCAGATCTTGAACTGCACGCTGGACACACAGAAGTGATGAGCAGTTCTCCCAGACTAATGAGCCGCTGGTGAACCCGAGCGTGCTTGGCTTAAATTACTAGAAAGAATAAAGAAAACCAAGTAAACATATAATGTGGCAATTATGAACTGAGAGGAAGTTAGAAACAGCATTTTAACTGTCATAACCCTGTAGATGGTGATCTAGCACATATTAATTCAGGAATCAGTAGCATATAATTAAAGAAGGTGAGGAGCAGGAAGAAACCAAATATGAAGAGTTGGCATGGAAGAAAGGCCACTAGGTGAACAGAGACACCTAAATCCTTGTCTGGAACATCAGGGCAGAAAGTCCCCAGTGGAAATAATAGGAAGAAGCAATATAAACAATCCAATTTATAGATATGAAAGCCAATAAATAATCAACTCAAAGAATAAGAAGCATTTTTCTCAAATAAAGAAAAATGGGAATGGGGAAAGAAGGAACTTAATGGTGTGTACGTGGCTTTAAAAAAGTGACTTCTCGGGGCCTGAGAGACGATCAGTGGCTAAGAAGGCTTTGTTGCTCTTCCAGAGCATCCCAGTTTGGTTTCCTGCACACACATCAGGCAACTCCAAGACGGCGTGGACATGCTCACCACGCTGTGCGGGTTCACCGGGAGGGAGAAGGGTTGGTGAGAGTTGAGCGTATGTACAGGCCTTCTAATTATCTTGATGAGCTCACTCAGGTTGACGTGGTCAGAGCTAATGCTATCTTCTGATCTCTGAGGGCGCCTTTACACATGTGGCACACACACGCGTGTACACACACACACACACACACACACACGATTAAAAATAAATCTTAAAGAAATTCAGTTTTTTAAAAATAATTTACATGTATAAGAAAAGTAAATTTTAACATATGTTTGTATATTTCAAGGTATAACACGTATTATGAGAGATATAGACATAGAAGATAGGCAAAAAAAAATATGGATAATAACATGACCACTACTGTGAAGAAAATTATTATATCCACCTTGTCACATTCCCTTCCCCCACCCCAGCCCTTACTTTATATTTATTGTTTTGTTTCTCTTTGGCGACTTAGGGTGCAATGTGTTTTCTTTTTTAACTTCTAAAGTTTTAAAACAAGATAACCAAGTTTAGATGAGTTTCCAAGCTGAATGCGTTGACGCGGAGCTCAGTTCCTGACTGATCACAAGTTTCTGACCATCCTAGATGGGCTCCGACGACGTTCTGTCCCCTGGTAACCGCCCTTTTTCTCCTTGATAAGAGCTGACAAACGTTAGTCACTGTTCTAGTCTTACACAGCCAGAGTCACCTCGAGTGTCTCCTGGGAGGCGCACATCAGGTCCTGGAAGCTGTCTTCATCCTTCTCACATCTGGTACTGCTCTCTGAGACGGCGGTGGGCATGCTCACCGCGCTGTGCGGGTTCACCGGGAGGGAGGAGGGTTGGTGAGAGTTGAGCGTTATGTACAGGCCTTCTAATTATCTTGGTGGGCTCGCTCAGGCTGACGTGGTCGGATACAAGGAACTTGGTTTCGTCCACAACAGGCAGCTGCCTCTCACCCTTGTATGGCTGGCTGTATGATCCTCAGGATCTTGGTGGGGTGCTGCTCTCCGATGTTCAAATCTTCCGCGATGCTTGAAAATCTTCTCCAACCGCAAGGTGCGAGGGTCAAGGTTAGCGGTCCTGCAACGGCCACTTCTGTCGCATATGCTGGTATTTGTTTGTGCGCCGCTACATGCAAAGTCTGTGGCGCGAGGGTCCAGGTTTCCTGCAACGGCCACCTCTCTTGTGTGTGCTGGTATTTCACCTGTGTGTTTGTGCGACACTACATGCAGTGTCTGTGGCGCGAGGGTCCAGGTTAGCGGTCCTGCAACGGCCACCTCTCTTGTATGTGCTGGTGTTTTGCCTGTGTGTTTGTGAGCCACTACATGCAAAGTCTGTGGAGACCAGAAGAGGGCTTCAGATCCCCTCGGACTGTAGTTACAGACAGTTGTGTCCTGTCCTGGGGGTGCTGAGCATTGAACCCAGGTTTACGTGGAAGAACAATCAGGGCTCTTTTTCACCAAGCCATCTTTCCACCCTACTTGGTCTTCATTTTATTATTGGTTGATTTATGGCAATAAATGATTTATTTAGCAGGAGTCACAATTTAATTTTTTAAATCATATTTATTCATTTTGTGTGCCTGTGTGCATGTGTGTATATGAGTGTGTGAGTGCGTCACAGATCACAAGTGCCAGGTATACATGTGGAGATCAAAGGATAATTTGCCGCTGGAGTCAGTTCTCTCTTTTCATTCACTATGTGGGTCCTGGGGTTCAGACTCAGGTCTGTCCAGTTTTTTGAGCACCTTCCTGTTGAGCTATCTCCTTGGCCAATGGAGTTCTGAATTTTAATGCTCATTGTGGTGGTTTCCATGAGAAGTGTCTCCTGTCGGTTCCAGTATTTAAGCAACAGGTTCCCAGTTGGGGAGTTGTTATAGTTACTCTTCTATTCCTGAGAACAGACACTCTGAGCAGGGCAGCTTACAAAGGAAAACACTTAATTGGGGGCTTGTTTATAGTTTCTAAGGATGGGTCTATGACCACCGCAGCAAGGAGCCTGGCAGCAGGCAGGCAGGCAGGCAGGGATGGTGCTGGAGCAGTAGCTGAGAGCTTGCATCTTATCCACAAGTCTGAGGCAGAGAGAACTGACACACCTCCTCCCACAAGACCACACCTCCTGATCCTTCCTAAACAGTCCACCACTGGGAACCAAACATTAAAATATACAAGCCCCTGGGGGCCATTTTCAATCAAACCACTCTAGTGGTGCTCTTTGAGGGGGTGGTACAGCCTTGCTGGGGGAAATGGAACACTAAGGGCAGGCTTCTAGCTTGTGATTCAAGATGTGATTTCTCAGCTTCCTGCTCCTACTGCACTCTTGCTGCTTGTTACCAACAGTGGACCATTATGCCTCTGAAGCCAGAAGCAAAAATAATTCCCTTCCTTAAGTTGTGTTTGGTCACAGTATTTTATTACAGGAGCAGAAAAGGTACCAGGTTTCTTCTGAAAACATACTGCATTCACACATTAGGAAGTCGAAAAATTGTAGAACCATTTGTAATTACAACCTAATTACCTTTACATTTATGAAAGTATTGCTTCTGGGTAAGGTCACACTGCGAAGTTCCATGTTAGCAAGGTAGACACCATTTAACCTCTGTGATGATGAAGGTGAGATCCCATACAAATCTAACGAGAAAGAGAAAAAGGAAAAGAACATATGTAGAGAAAATGAAAACAGCCCCCCACCCCTGGAAGGGTGGAAACCTTGTATCTAAAACTATATGAAAAACACAACTTCATCTTTCAAAACAACCTAAAGATATTAAGAAAAGAATACAACTTGAAATCCAACATTCTGGCTGAAATTAGAAAAACCAGAACGGATGTGATAGAACACAGGAGAGAATGGGATTCAGACGAGAAAGATGAATGAACTAATACAGAAGTGGTTACAAGAGAGAGGCCTGGAAATGAAATGCATTTTTTAAGACATACATTTTTTTTCACGATCGAAGGACATACATTTTTCAAAGGTAAAAATAAACGAGGGGAAATGGACTCAATGGAAAATGACCACCACTGCAGCTAAGGAGAAGGGGACACAAGGCACAGCTTCTCACCGCCGACGCAGAAACCACGGCAAGAGACAAAGTTAAAGTGTAATTTCAGAAACGTCCCACAGTAAGAAATGAGAGGAAACTGAATCTGAGGAGGGCCTTTCATACCTAGGAACATCGATCTAGGACAGCCAACACTAGAGAAATCACCGGCCCAGAAAACTCTCAGGGTTTTAGGCAAGAAGATAGAAGCGTAAAAGGGGGCGGATTCGACCTTCAGCAGACATGTCAGCAAATGTGAACACCAGCAGAAAAGTGTGTTTAAGGTATTCGTGAGAAATGAGTCAAAGGTTTCGTAGCCCCCCCCCCCAAAAAAAAACCTGACATCCAATGAAGAAGACGAAAACCAAAACCAAACAGACAAGTTGTTATCAGCATGATGCAAGAGTGTGTCTTCCTAATATATCAGGAAGGCATATGGTTAGATGGGAGGATACGTACTATTTTTAAACCATAGGATGGGGATGGGGATGGGGGCTGCCAAATGACTTTCAGTGATCTTTAGTTACTGAGTCATCAAAACAAGTGACAGGGAACCTACTAAATCTTTCCTTTGGGTTTCTCCTAGCTGCTTGTTGTATGGGTTACCAAAAGTATAGGAATATTCTAATCCCTTGTAGAAATAAAGTTATAGCTTATCATATAAAGGACTCGCCATAGTCTTCTATATACAAAATATCCCAAATGTTATTAGCTCTGGTTCCTAGCCAATCTAACATCCAACAGGGTCTCTATTTCAAATCATGGATTTTTTTTTGCATGAAATTATTTAAAAGAATGTTTTTCATTAAAATGCTGGCTTTTAAAATAGCTTAAATTAAGTTTTAATAAGCATCAAAGATTGGTTTGTGTCAGAACAAAATCCAATAAAAACTCTGAAGAATGTTTTCATGAAAGAGCATTTTGATTCTGTTTGAAATACTGACAATGAGAAGCATTTAAATTGTTGGCATTCTGACCGTTTATTTCTTTGTTTTATTGTGCCTGTTAATTTTCTTAATAACACATTATAACAGCCCCTAGTGTGTGTAAAAACAAATGTGCTACACGCCATCCTAGCTCTGTTCCATATGCTTCCCTGAGTCAGCTCTGGCTGAAGCATGCTAACCCACTCGGACTGCGGTTCATATGTGCCTCCAGACACGTTCCCAGCTTGGCTGGATCTACCCAGAGAAAATGAATCACACAATCCTCAAGTCTTTGGCTATGTCTCGTCAAGTTTGTTTTCTATGGAGTCTAAACTTCTCTCCCATGGAGATAGAAAGGAGGTAGGCCTTTGCCCGGAGCATCGTTTAATTGACACTCTGAGCCAATGTATGTTGTTTGACTTCAACATAAACCATTTTAGCCAACTCATTTCTTCACATCCTAATGTAACAGTCAATCAAGCTATTAACATATAGCATCGTGGGGGAAACATGTACCTCTTCAATACATGTACCTCAAAAATTTTAGAGAGTGTATAATTAGTGTAAGAGGGCAAGACCTTGTGTAGGAAATTTATTCATCTGTCAACTTCTTGAACTAATGATTTCAAAAATCGTGTGTGCGGATGTCCCAGTGTGATTATCTCTCACAATTTCAAAGGGTGTGTGTGTCCATTAAAGGTGGAATTTGTGGGTAGACAGTATTTCTGAGACTTACTGGAAATCTTTGTTGACAATTTTGCAAGTGTTTATTCAATGGAGACAGAGGAATGTATCCTAATTAAGGAAGGAAGAAAGAGTAAATACGTCCGAAGTTATGGTAAGCAAACTTCCCACCACGATCTTGTACAATAGAGAGAGAGGAACTGAAGAAGTGGTGGTCTAGGCCTGGAAACCAGCTACATGGGGTGCTGAGGCAGGAGGATCACCAAGTTCAAGGTCGTCCTGCACTACAGAGTAAGTTCAAGGACGTCCTAAACAACTTACTGAGACTCAAAAAGAGAGCTGGGGTGTCATTAGAGATGGGGCGCTTGTAGCATGCAGAGAAGCATAGTAGAGCTGACGCCGGTACTTGACAGCAAAGGAAAGAAGGGAGAGACAGAGGACGGAAAGGAAGGGCGGAGGGACAGGGGGAGGGAGGAAGGGAGGTGGAAAACAAGAAGATGATTTAAAGGAAACAGTTCTGGAAAATGAGCGGTAGCAGGGCTTGGCGCTTCACACCTGCAGTCCCAGCACTTGGGAAACTGAGCCAGGACCACAAGATGAGGGCAGCCAAGATGAGATCCTGCCAAACAACAGGCACCCCAAAACGGTAAGGGTCCCCACTTGTTGAACGGAGTAAGCACCCTAAATATGATAGGAAATACTTCTCCTGAATAACATAAAAAAAAAAAAAAAAGAACTGTTGGATGCCAAGTGAGGTAAAAGGGTGAGAAAAGTACCACTGTGTTCTAAATCCATTTAAAGAAAGCTAAACACAGACTCCTATGGGGTAAATATAACACATTTGTACAGGCGCAGGGAGATTTTAGCTAACATAGCAATTTAACTCACTCTTCCCTCTTCAAATGTTATAATTTTCAGCAGTTAAAAGCCAAAAAAAAAAAAAAAAAAAAGCTTCTCTATTTTTAGTGTGTGAGTATTTCATACAAAAACACTTTCTATGCTCCAGAGAGACATTTGGCTCTGATACCGCAGTCACCTGAAAGTTCTAAGTGTTGAGAAACAAGAGGAAATATTTCTGGAGCTAAAGCAATTAGATCCTCGTGAGAATCTACAATCCG